TCTCCTTTCCTCTTGCCGAATCTACGTTCCCGCTCTCCTTAATGGTTCATGAGGGCTTCTCTGTTTTTACTTCATGTAAGTTCCCTCAATTTCCATCTTTAATGGCTTCTTCCTATTTCTCTTCTTTCTCTCCTTTCTTAGGCTCACGTCTTACTCTTCCACGCTCCACCCTGAAGACATTTGAGTCTGTATGTGTTGCCGGCATTCACTTCCCTTTTCACTTTCTTCTTAGGTCAAAGAACTAATTTGAGACTTTATTTCCTTTCTGTTATATCTTTGCCCTTTCATTGTTTTTCTGTTTCCTTCTCTTTTCTTCAGGACTATGTCCTTCCCTTTTAAGCTTCCCCATCTGTGTTAGAAACGAGTGGCAGAGAGAGACCCAGTCTGTGGCCAGAGTCAGGTCTGCACAGGTGGGAGTTTTGAGGTCTGTGGACACTGGCCCGCTGGTCTTGTCGGGTCAGACCTGGCGGGCCCCGAGGGAGTGCTGTCCTTGGAGGAGTGTGCTTCTGCCTCTGTCCCTGACACCTGTGTGTGCCGTGGGTTGTCGGGATGTGGGTGGCATCGCACGGTGTCCTGGCCCTCACCGCTTCGGGTGGGGGGGGGGAGGTGCGCTCATGCCCTTGTGCACTGGGACCCACGCCAGAATGCTTTCGCCTCTATCTCTTGTTAAACATCTCCTTCCATCCTTTAACTTGGAGCTTTCCAGATCCTTGAAGTCTTAGGGCTGTCTTTCTAACAGCGTGCACTGGAGCACTGGAGCACTATTTTACCTCAGCCCGACTGTCGTAAGTGTGTGCCTGACTTTCCAGACAGTGTCTGGATTGCTTTCTGTCACCTTCATTTGCACTTGCTAGTCGCCCTTTTAAAAAATATTTTTCATTTCTTCCTTTTCTCTTTCTCCTGATTTCGAAGTTAGATGTGTCGCTTCTGGCCTTTAAGTATATATTCAGAGCCTGCAGTATCTCTCTGCCTCCCTCCCAGACAGATCCTTCCAGTGCTGGCCCCCCAGTCTACCATCTCACACTAGTATAGTTGGGCAGTTAAATTTCACTCAGTTTTATACCAAATTAGATGGGAAATTCTCCTTGGTCGGCACTTGTGGGTATTTACCCATGTTCCTCAGCGTCTTTGCTCCCTTTCCTGCTCGTGTCCTTTCTTGCAGTTCAGAGTCCCTGCTCCTTTAGCTGCTGTCACACTGGTGTGGGCTGCAGTCTCCCCTGCCGCTCCCCCAGCAGCCTCTCCCTGCGGGCTGTGGCAGTTTGCCCGACGGGCGGCAGGCAGAGCCTCTCCTGCTCTTTCCCAGGCAGCTGTGCCCCGGGCCTGCTCCTGGGGAGCCAGGGGTCCTGGTCGCCCGGAACGGGCAGGGCATGAAGGCCAACACACGAGTGGGCCCCAGCTTCCCAGAGTAGTTCTCGAGGGACAGGCACACCTGGTTTGCGCCCAGAAGCCATGACCCAAGCCAGGCTGGGTGGGGGAGCTCACGCGCTCGTCCTCACGGCCTCTCTCCCTTGCCCAGCTTCATCACCTTCCGCTCCTGCGCGTACCTGGACAAGAAGCACACGATCTTCGGGCGGTAAGGGCAGCCGCTGCTGAGGTCTGGGGTGCTGGTGTGGGTGGGCTCCTTACCCAGTGGGTTCCTCTCACTGCCTTTCCTTCTGGCCTGGCTCCGTGCTCGTTTGCCCTCATGACCATCGCTGTCGCGGTCATGGCCGTGCAGACCTGCTGGCTGGGAGGAGAGCAAGCTCTCGCCCCCTCTGGCCGGCTGCCCTGCCCGAACTCATCCCCCTGAGGCTCTCCTCTGGATGCTTCCAATTCTCAAGTCTGGTCCATGTCTCTTCTCTGTCCTCTTGTCCTGTGAAGGCCTGGATGGTGTTTCGAGCTCTGTGACTTCATGGTCTGTCACACCTCCCAGCTCAGCCGGCTGTAGCGCCAAAAGCATGGAAGCAAGGGGTGTGGCTATGTCCCAATAAAACTTGGAACGAGGCCTCCTGGCCCTGCTCTTACCTCTCCCCTCGGCCCCCCCCTCCCAGGGCCATGCCCCTCACCCCAGTGGGACCTTCTCAGGCCCATCCTCTGCCCTCTTCCTGGCATGCCACAGGGTGTTGGCTTTTGGGGGTTCCCTGCCTGGGGCACAGAGGTACCCCTGTCCCTCTGCCGCAGGGTTGTCGGGGGCTTTGACACACTGACAGCTATGGAGAATGTGGAGAGTGACCCCAAAACTGACCGCCCTAAGGTATGTAGTCAGGGAGACAGAGGGACCGCTGCTCAGGCCTGGCATCAGGCAGGTGGGCTAGGAGGGGCCTGCTGCCTTCTGCCGGCCCCCCTCATTTGCCTCCCTCTGCTGCTAGGAGGAGATCCGCATCGACTCCACCACTGTGTTTGTGGACCCCTATGAGGAGGCTGACGCGCAGGTGAGGGGGCCTCAGCCACCGGGTGGGCAGGGCTGCTGGGGAACTTGCCCAGCTTGAGGGGCTCCAGGCCAGCTGTTGCCCTGCTCCCTGACAGATCGCCGAGGAGCGGAAGAAGACGCAGCTCGAGGAGGAGGCCCCAGAAAGCACAGTGAAAACAAGCCAGCCCAAGCCGGGGAGCCAGGGCCCCCAGACGTACCGCCAGGGGGTGGGCAAATACATCAACCCGGCAGCCACGTAAGTGAAGGGAGGGCTGTTGTCCCGTTTTGCACGTGCTCTCCAGTCTTACCGGTGCCCATGGGTCAGAGCCCGCCAGTGGTGAGGACGAGCAGGTGCCGTGGGGCCCCTGTGCAGGCTGGAGATTGAGGACTCGGGGCTGGGGGTACATGACGGTGTGACATCACGCTGAGGGGAGCTGTGGGAGGGTGTGGGCTCCCAGCTCCGGGACCTGGTATACAGATAGCAGCTAGAGCGGGTCTTCTCTTTTCAGGAAACGTGTAGCAGAGGAAGAGCCCTCAACCAGTGCAGCTGTCCCTGTGGCCAAGAAAAAGCCCAGTCGGGGTTTTGGGGACTTCAGCTCGTGGTAGCAGCAGGTCTGTCACTCGGTATCCCCTTAGGGACTCAGGCCTGGGGACCTGTAGCCACCCATGGAGTTTTCTGCCCACCTGACTACTACTCACCAGAGCTCTTGCTTGTTGCCTGGGTCCCCTTTCCTGGCCCCTGGGCCTTCCCAACCTTCACTTGGGCCTGGCCCTGCTTCCAGGCCTGGGCCTACCCAGAACCCGTGTCCCGGGCCACCAGGCATGAGCTGTGGATCAGCCTGCAGTGCAGGCCTAGGACGGGGAGGAAGGCTATCTCCTGACTCTCGCCTTCCTCCCGTCCCCTCCCCATTTTGGTCATCTTGTCTGGGACTCAGATGGGTATCACCTGGGACCTGGTTAGAAACAGATTCTCAGACTTCGGCTCTTCTGACCCGGAAACTCTGGGGGCAGGGTTCGGCATCCAAACCTGGGGGGCAGGGGCTCCTGCTGCCGGTGGCGTGAGGACACTAGACTAGAGCCTTGACATCAGTTTCTAAAAGTCTCTTCTGCCTTATGCCTGGGCTCAAGGACCATGGGTGGTCACAGCCATGTTCTCCTGTGGGCCGCACCCAGGACTGGCCGCCTCTCCGCCTCAGGACAGGAGCAGGACCGCATGTGGGAGAAGCCGGCCAGCGCCTGCTGTTACTGACGGATGTGCCGAAGGCCCGGGCAAGCTGGCGTCCCCCGACCCCCCGCCTATGTGCTCACTTGCTCCCCAGCCCTAGCACTAGGGCTTCCAGGCCAGCCTCACCAGCGGTTCCAGACTTAAAAATCCCTTAACTCTATTTTTCTATAAATGTCTTTTGAAAAAACCTCCTTGCTCGCCTGCCCACCCATGTTTTCTGTTCATTCTGTAGCCTGTGTGCCAGCCTGGCTTCCATGCTCCTGACACCTACCTTGGCCTTCCCAAAGCGCCTCTGCAGAAGGATGGGGACAGATGGCGCCTCCCACCGCCTATCTCCTTTGGCCACAAGGCTGTCCACCCCTCACACCCGCTCCTGAGGCCTATGGTCTCGAGGTCAGCAGAGGCCATACGCTCCCCTCCCTCCCAGCTTATCTTTGGTTCTTTCCCTCACCCAAGCTTCAAATTCATCACCAAGTGTTAACAGCACTTCCAGAACATACCTGGGCTCTTCTTTTTCCATCTCTGATGCTGAACCCCAGGCTCAAGCCCTTTATCTCTCACCTGCCTCTTTTCAAGCCCCTCGTGCATATCCACACAGATGTCCTATCTGTCACCCACCTAAAGTTCGTTGGCATCCTGCTTCAGGATATCCTGGCTCAGGATACCAGGCATCCTGGCTCTCCTCTGTGCGGATAACAAGGTCTGGGCCCCACAGGCACCGTACCCCTCTATAGTCCCCTAGCTGGAGCCAGGGACCTGGGCTTTAGAGAGTAACCTCTCAGCCTCTGGCCAAACCCTCATCTTCATGACCTCCTCACCACTACCCTCCCAGCTAGTGAAAGGCTTATACTCCAGCCTTTATGCCTGAAACGTATCCCAAGAGGCTGGTTCACCCAGGAGGTGAGGGCGGGGTGCAGCGAGAGCCGTGTAATGCACTTGCAGGCCACTGACTAGTCGCTGGTGGGCTCAGGGTGTGTGGTGGTGAAGACTTGGGAGAGGGCGTATCCCACAGGGCTCTTAACCCCTCAGTGTTGAGAAGGACGGGGGAGCTCAGGTTCGGCGTTCCCGGGCTACGTGCACAAGCCCCAGACTAGCGGGGAGCTTGGCGGCACAGAGCTCGAGACGGCGGGCCGCATGGCCCCATGTAGGACTGGAGCCCAGCAGGGGAAACTCTGCTGCCCTTGTGCCTGGGCTCACTGAGGCCCACTTACCTGTCCGTCCGCCCAGCGAGGACCGTGCATGATCACAGCCATGTTCCCCTGTGGGCTGCACCCGGGACTGGACAGGACCAGGACCGCACGTGGGAGAAGGCGTGGGCAGTGGGAACTGCCGGAATCCAGGGCCCCCGGCGCCTGCAACAGGAGGTGCTACTGCGCAGGACACATCTGACATGGGAAGCTTTATTTTTCAACCTCACACAGACACACAGGACGAGGGCTGGACACGGAGGCGGAAGGAGGCTTGTGCACGTGAGCTTGGCAGTCCTGCTCCAAGGGGCAAACCTTCGGGCTGTTGTCCGTCGGTCCATCCCTCCAGCTGCACCCAGTGACCACATGCACCTGGCCCGAGGCACGGCCAGGCCACCCTGGGCTGCAGATCCACCCAAGAGCCTTTGACAAATGAGGGTTTACATTTCTGTAGGTCGTTTTGGAACTTAGTTTTCTAGGTATTAAAACCACTTGGATTTTGTAAGTACCTGGTGAAGTCATCAGGTAAATTAAAGGACTTTTGAAAAAAATTCCCATTTCTGATTTCGCCTAATATCTGACAGATGCCATCAAGAATAAGCGTTAAGGTATAAAAATACTATATATATGTATATATAAAACAACAACTAAACCATGTTTCTAGAGCAGATGTGCTGTGCCAGAGACCATCACATAGTTTAAGTCAAATGCATTGATGATCCTGGCCTCACCTCCCAAACTTCAAGGAAAAAAATATTTTAAATAATTTAAATAAAAGTCACAGGATGATATTTACTGTTTAGGAATTTAAAAGGGCGGAACATTCCAACACTACCAGCACATCCGGTTGTGGGCTCGTGTGTGAATGTCCTTCCCTGAAGCCAGCTCACGGTCCGTTCTTTTGGTTTCAAAAGGAGCTTGGATTTTTCAGAAGACCAACAAAGTGGTAAGGGTTTTCGTTGGTATCAATTACCAACAAAACAAAAAACAAGGCCTAAGACCACTAGTAAAAATGTTTCAATGCCATCACAAAAGACAATACAAAAACCAAAGTGCTCAAATCCAAGGAGCAGTAAACTTGCCCAGAACATATAAAAGCTTTAAATAGAAGTTTAGTATATACAAAAATCGGTCAGAAGAATTTGAGAAGATTCTTCAGTTTCCGCGATCTTGTGGAGAAGCACGCGGGAGCCCTGCCCTCAGCACCCCCAGGACCCCATTTCCCTCATCCTCTAGGGGCCTCGGCCACAGCGCTGAGGCTCATGGAGGCACCGAGCAAGGAGGGAGGGGTCGGTTTGGGCGAAGTCTTCCAAGAGGAGTACTCCTCAGCCAAGGCGTCTTTCTGTCCTTCCAAAGCTGCCACTGAGGACCAAAGCCGCAGATAACCATGCTTCGCGCGCCAGCTCGAAGAGTGCGGCGTCTTCAGGTTTCTGACCGTGGCCGTGAGCGCAGGACTGCGCCCCGGGAGCCTGAGGGCTGCACAGCTGCACATGAACTCAAACACGGGGCTGCTCTGGGACAACCTGCATCTGCAGGGGTGGGGGTACAGCTCAGGAAGCAGCAGCCTGCTGGAGCACCTGTACGCGCAGACACCTACCTACACGGCTGTACAGAGATCTGCCTCTGACACGTGGAGACGTGCGTACACCAGCTCGCGCTCCCGTGCCCTCGCCCACAGCAGGGCAGCGCCATTTCCCCACATTCCAAGGCTTAAGCCAAGAGAGGTTGCCAGAAGGGAGACTACGTGAGCAGCTATGGCAGAAGCAGCCAGGGGAGCCCGGTGCCTGCACAGACCATGGGCTCTGGGGCTCAGGGGAGGGCGGGCGGGAGGGAGGGAAGGGACCTCCCACGGGACTAGAACCATCCTCTCAGCCTTCCCGGCCAGCTCACATTTGCCACTGGGCTGACCTTGTCTGCAGGTACTTTCAGAGCCATTGGCCAGGCGGAGAAACATCTGGGCACGCTGCCCTTCTCTCTCCCTGCCTCCATGGGCCGTCTTCCTGCCCCCACCCCCAGCACTTGGGTCCAGGGGTCTCCCCACCAGACCCCTGGAGCAGCTGGCCGGACCCAGCAGCTGGAGTCAGGCTAGAACACTGAAAAACAAAACTTATTTGGGAATGATCTTTGGCCTCCATGCTCTGAACATTGGCCAAAATTCTGCAGTGGCCTCTCCTCGCAGGGGCATAGGTGGATGGCCGAGACACAGGACTTAGAAGACCGCCTAGGTCCCTTCAGTTCAAGGGACAGAACCAGGAGGGCACGGGAGACCCATATTCATTTACAAAGTTTAAATCAGTCATGGAACTTTACCCTTTCCTGAACAAAAATGTTAAAACAATCTCCCAAATCTCAAGTTTGGAAGTTTATCCTGCTCGTTCTGGCCTCTTACGTATGCAGAAGTAATCCTTTTTCTTCAAGTACATCAGAGTAGAAAAGGAAATCCGATTTTACTCGGTCCAGTGTGTTACACTCTAACTCTGTGGACCACCCACCCTCAGCAACAGACGCAGAGGCCCCACTGCCACAGGGCCCCGCCGGACTGCAGCCTAAGCAGCGTGCCCCTGCAGACCCCTGGAACATTCTTTGCTAATGCTTGCTTTCGAGATAAGGAAGCTGTTGGCTTAAATAAACAAGATGTTTCATTAGACATACTTCTCTATTTATAGCTTATCTAAAATGTAATCAGCGGTGTCTGTTTTTGAGCAAGGCTTTAAAAAAAGAAAAGAAAAGAAAGGTCCCTTGGCGAATAGATTCATTGACTGCTTCTGGAAAGTTCTTAAATGAGCACTATGCCTTAACAGCTCATCTGCAAGAGGAACAGCCCATTTGTAGTTTCACAAATTAGTGGGGAGAAAAAGTGGGCTACGGTACCCCTACTCCAAAAGAGAGGAGTGAACTTGCTCTTCTAAAAAGCCCCTAACCCTGTGGCCCGCAGAAATTCAGTTTGGTTTTCTATTGAACGTGAAAGAGCACAGCCAAACTCTATTGTAAAGGCATAGGTTAAAAGAAGGTATTAACTAGATGGGTAAGTCATCAGTTGCTTAATTCCTTCTCTGGAACTTGAGAAGTTAGGAAAAGGTCATTGAAACATTCTGGAAACAACCATGTACATGAACAGAACAGAGGCTGAGGGCACACCTTACCACCGGAGCGGCTGGAAGAGGCCAGCCTGCAAGGTTCAAGTTCAAGAAATACTGTCATCCAGGATGCTCCTAAGTTTCCATTACATTTAGTTTTTTTTCCACAAAATAGTTTCAGAAGAGAACAAAGTTTTCACTTTACTCCCAACCATTGTCTTTGATCATGTGGGCAAGCTCAATAATAAATTTTCCTTCCTTATATTTCTGACTGCTCTCAAAGGCATGTTCCTTGAAAAAGAAAAAAAAAGTAGAAAGAAGTCTCAGGACAGAATCAAATTTCACTTTGACTTCATTACACTCTTGGTGAAGAAAATAAGTGGATGGTATTAAATCTCCCCAGGTGATCCCTTCGCAATGCTGACCGGGGTCGGGGGCAGGGGCGGGGGTGGGGGTGGGTTCTGTCTTGGGTGACAGGTGCACCCAGGACAGGACAGGTCACCCCTACTCGTCGTGAAGTTATAGATAAACTCGTAGGGAAAGGCTAATTCAAATTTGCTACCAACCCTGTACCACTGCAAGGCAGTCTGGGAGGCCGAGGAGCCAGACCCTCCTTGCAGGGACTGCGGGTACGGGGCAAGCGAAGGCAACTCTGCCAAGTGCCCTGGGAGTCGTTCAAGATGTCGGAAGAAGAGAAGGCCCTTGGGTGGGCAGTGAGGGTGGAGCGCAACAGGCTGGGGGTGCGTGCGGGCCTCGCCGAGCCCGTCTCCATGTGTGATGGGGAATGCGGAGAACAGGAACAATCGGGAATTCCAGAAAGAGGGAGAGCAGCTGGCCCTGACCAAGACGACCAGAATGGCTGCAGAAAAGCATGTCACGAAGGCAGGCACCAGCCACACCCAGACACGCCTCTCAGATGCCAGAGCCCAGGGTGGACGTGCACTCGATGGCCGGGGGCACCAGGCGTGTGGGCCAGAGGGACACATCTGGGAGTCGCCAGGAGGGGTGGGGGAACACGGGAGCAGGGAGTGTGGGGGAGCAGAAGCTGCCCACGGGCCAAACCTCTGCTGGGCAGGGGGAGGCCAGGCTTGGGGGGCGCAGCAGAAACTTCTGAGCACCGCATCCGGGTCTGCTCGCCGTCGCTACTGCAGAGTAATGTCAACAGCCACCTTGGGCCTGGCTGGCCGGCAGGTGTCCCCCAAACAGATGGGGCCCTCCCGTCATTCCAGGGGCCCCTCAGGGGGGCCCAGGTCTGCAGGGTGGGACTGTGCGGTGTGGCTGTCACCCCTGCCCTGGGAGTGCAGGTGTGCCTATGTGACTGCATCCATCTTTAATTGGATTTCTATGTTAAAACACAGTTTGATGCTTCCAGGGGGGAGGGCTTACTTCTTTGCGAAGTGTGTGTCTGTTTGTAATGTGTTTTATGTGGTAATCTGTGCAGCGTCCGAGAGGTTGGAATAGATGGTTACTCACATATTTCCACCCGAGCGTGGTTTTGCAGTTTTCACAGTAGATGTCTGCGACCGCGTGCAGGCCAGTAAGAAGGACCCTCTCCTCCGCGGGGCCACAGCCCACGTTCACCCTGCAGGGAAGGAGGCAGGACACTGCTGGACACCAGAGCGGTTTCCCCTGGCCCCCGCCTCACGGGGTTATTTCTCTAGCTAACTGGTTACCAGAGGCACCAGTGTTTCTTAGTAATGCCCCGCCTTCCCACCCCCTGCCCACCACCACCTTTTATGAGAAGGAACAACTGTTCATTTCCCCAAGAGAATCCCAAGATGGGCCGGGCTGCTGGGGAGGTGACCACAGTTCTGCGGTGTGTAGTGCAGTAAAATTCAAACCCACCACAAATGGGGCACGGACCACATCGCGTGTGGGAGCTAGTTCCTCAGGCAAGAGCACACCCTTCCCTGAAACTCTGACTGGAGGGTACAATTCTTTAAGTTCGCCTAAAAACACTCGATCAGGGGTGTCTGAGTGGCTCAGTTGGTTAAGCATCTGACTTTGGGTTTTGGCTCAGGTCATGATCCCAGGGTCGTGGGATCGAGCCCTGTGTCAGGCTCCATGCTGAGCATTGGGCCTGCTTAAGATCCTCTCTTCTCTTCCTCTCCCTGGCTCATGCGCACTCTCTTGCTCTCAAAATAAAAAATAAGAGGGGCGCCTGGGTGGCTTAGTCAGTAGCGTCCGACTTTCGCTTGGGTCATGATCTCGCGGTTCGTGGGTTTGAGCCCCGCGTCGGGCTCTGTGCTGACTGCCAGCTCAGAGCCTGGAGCCTGTTTCAGTCTGTGACTCCCTCTCTCTCTGACCCTCCCCTGCTCACGCTGTCTCTCTCTCTCTCTCTCTCCTAGAAATAAATAAAACATAAAAAAAAAATAAAAAAATAAAAATAAAAAATAAGAATAATGAGGGGTGTCTGGGTGGCTCAGTGGGTTAAGCACCTGACTTCGGCTCGGGTTATGATCTCCCAGTTTGTGAGTTTGAGCCCTGTGTTGGGCTCTGTGCTGACAGCTCAGAACCTGGAACTGCTTCAGATTCTATGTCTCCCTCTCTCTCTGCCCTTCCCCTCACTTGCACGCTCTCTCAAAATTAACATTAAAAAAATTTTTTTTTAATGAAAATAATAATTTTAAAAAAACCCACTGGTCATTCCAGCCTCCCAGGGAACTCTACATATTCCAGCTTTGAGTAATTATTTGCATGGATGTACAGAAGCAATAAATGTGACGTGACCAAGAACACGGCAGGTCCACGGGCCACCAGCAGTGGTACTCACACAGAATTGAAGAGGTAGGCTCGTCCCTGACTTCCCTGAAAAGACTGCAAAGAAGAAAAAGCTGTCACAGATTTGTCACAGTAAGATGAAAAGGGACGGCGAGTTTTGCATTTGGGAATGAAGGTGGAGACACTGTTCCAGGTCACGGACCTCGACGTGAGCTGGAGGCCGAGCTGGGGAGCAGAGACCGCAGGTCTCCGGGGCTCTGGACCCACACAGAACCCAGAAATCACTGGGCTCCCGGAGCCCGAGAGGGGCTGCTTGGTGCCCTGATTCATGCCACCAGGACAAGCTGCACCACCGGCCACCACACAGGAGGGGCAAGGGAGAGTTTCCATGCTCTTCCTTTGAAACTTATAAAACAAAGCCATATCCCAAGATGACCCCTTACTTGGAGGGGGGACCACCTTCCAGTGACATCTCAGAATGTGCTAGAAATAAGTCCAGAAACAGCTTGTAGCATATTCATGTAGTCTGGGATGATAAGGTGGGGGAGGGTGCCTCCTGAATACCATCCGGTCAGTCCCAGTGCCCGCAGCCTTAGGGACAAGAGGCAATGGGAGTTCCCTCTTGGCCAGACAACGGGCTCGTCTGCTCTGTGCCAGGCTCAAATGACCAAACAGAGCGGGCGGACCTCAAAAATAATGAAATCAAGGACACTTTTGTGTTGTTTCTCTGCCTATCACCTCAGCACAAACTCAAGGCTGTGAGCAATGTTGACTGGAGCACAGAGGACCATATCTAAATGCAAAAGGCACACACTGTGTGACCAGCCACCCCCCCTCCTAAGAATATACCATAGAGACAAACGCACTGGAGTGCTTAAGGGAATGTGACAGGAATGATCAACATTCACCGTCTGCAATCACACACACACAAAAATGGGACGCAGATTTCCACCAGCAAGTGAGCCAACAAGGGCACTCACGTCCGAGACTCACGCAGACATTACAAGGGGGCGGGAGCGGATCGGCGGGAGCAGGTGCAAGAAGACAGGACAGTCCAAATACTCCGAAGTGAAGGAAAGCTACCTGTCAGATGCTGTGTGGTGGGAGCCCTTCGTGTAAAGCAGAAGCTGTGTTCCCGCAGACAACAGAGAAGACCACAGACACCAAACTATTGGCGGTGACAAGTGTAAGGAATGGAGTAGGGGTGAGGAGGAGAAAGCCGTCCCGTTCCTGCCACAAACACGGTCACTGTGCAATCGCACACAGCTGCTTCCACCATTACAGATGGCAGCGCCCCTGCTGACCCCATGGTACGTGGTACGCCACTGTGACTTGGGGGCTTTTTGTTATAGTCGCATAACCTAGCCTAAATCGAGCAGTGTTTTGACTGAGATATATAGCTTTTAGGGGCACCTGGCTGGCTCAGCCAGTTGGGCAACTGACTCTTGGTTTTGCCTCAGGTCATGATCTCATGGTTCAGAAGTTCAAGCCCCGAGTGGGGGGTTGCGGGGGGGGGGGGACTGTCCATTGATAGCACGAGCCTATTTGGGATTCTCTCTCTCCCCCTCTCTGTCCTTCCCCTACTCACGCACACGTGTGTTCTCTCTCAAAATAAATAAACTTAAAAATATATATATACAACTTTCAGACTTGGAAGAGTTTTCCTTTCAAGTGGTTTTCTAGAATGAGGACTATCACTTCATGGCCAATGTAACCAATAATCATCTTATAGGCTTTCCTGCACATCCTTATTAGCCTTCAATTCTGTGGACCAATTTTCCTAATTCTCTCACCTACTCTGCAAATCTTTGTTTAAATAGGGTTTAGATCAGTGATGTGGTCAGATCTGTGGTTCGGATTTAGACCGAAGTCAGGCTAGAGCCAGGCCTGCAAACTTCTGTAAGTGAGGCCAGCTGATAAATATTTCAGGCTTTGGGGGCCATGCAGCCTCTGTTGCAACTACTCTGGCCTGACACATAAATACGTGACACATAAAGAGACGGATGCGGCTGTGATGATCCAATAATACTTCATAGAAAACAGGTGGTGTGCCAGATGCGACCCACAGATAAAACCAGAGCCTTCAAACAACTAGACCTGCCTGCACCAGGAATGGCCCTCTTGGACCAAGTGACACAGATGGCTCCAGAGGCCCGTGAACACCTGTCAAGACAATACCTCTGTCCTCATGTGAACTGGATCCCGCTCTACACGGTAACTTACAGACTAACACTGTATGGAAGGAAAAGCAGCAGTTTCCTGTATCACCGGCCGAAATGCAAGGTCTGATGCCTCTTGGCAGACTGTGTGCTTGGTGCATTTAGGTTCTCAGCGTGACTTTCATCCTGAGATGCTCAGTTAAGGTCACGGCTGGTGCCACCTAGCAGGCAGAGCCTCCGGGATGCTTCAGAACCAACACCATGACGATGTCCAACACCTATGCCTTCTGAGATGCACGGCTCACAGAGGTCACCAAGCCACACAGTCCCATCTGGAGGCCACACGAACTCAGACACTGACACATATGGAGCCTGCCGTGGAAGGTACTCAGGAAATCAGGAGCCGAGGCCCTCCCATTTCTGACTTGAATCTTCTGAGTGGACAAAGGAGGCACAGCAGCAGTGAGAGCGCAGAAACGCACGGTGTTGATTTCAGATGATGAACAGAAACAGGACAATGGTTCATTACCTCCTATCTAAAATATGGGTAGGGAAGTGTTCTTCTAACGGAGTCAAATGCGAAGCCTAAGCAGGGATTCCCGAAAAGCACAACTTCCTGACTTTGTTTTGGAAGAAGCATGAGGTTCACGTAGCCCAGGAAGGCAGACCAGTGAGGAAGTGGGGGGGCGGGTTGTGACCCGCGAGGATGGGCAGGGGAGAATGGTCACAACTTCCCACTATGTTTGAATTGTTTTTTACATGTTCACAAGTGGCGGATTCTAGACCCCACACATTGCTAAAAAAGAGTCCAGCTTAATAAGGAATTGGGGGCACCTGGGTGGCTCAGTCAGCTAAGTGTCCGACATTGGCTCAGGTCATGATCTCGCAGTTCGTGGGTTCAGGCCCCACGCTAGGCTCTGTGCTGACAGCTCAGAGCCTGGAGGCTGCTTCAGATTCTGTGTCTCCCTCTCTCTGCCCCTTCCCCACTCACACTCTATCTTTCTCTCAAAAATAAATAAATGTTAAAAAAAAATTTTTTTAAATAATAAGGAATTGAGCTGTTCTTTTCTCATCTACGAGGCTGCTCCCAGTCCTACCCAGAGTGCTCGGGGCAGCTGCCGTGGCCCTGTTCAGAGCATCCATCCTGAGGATTTTTCTAAAAGATCCTCTCTTCGGGGCGTTCAGTCAGTTACACATCCGACTCTTGATTTCAGCTCAGGTCACGATCTCACAGTTTTGCATGATCCATGCGTATAGCGCGATAGCACTTACAGCATGGTCTGCACTTAAAGCGCAGAGCCTGCCTGGGGTTCTCTCTCTCAACATGAATAAACAAACATTAAGAAAAAAGATCCTCTTTCCCCCATTCCTCTAGGAGAGCCTGTTTTCTCCTTACGCATTCTGAGTTTTTAAAATTTCTTCATTCCCTTATTATTTTAATAAATTCCCATATTATTAAACTCTTTCCACAGGTTTTCTAGACCTCCTTTGTTCCTTCGATGTTTTTTGGTTTTAGATGAACTTTACTGCTCTGACAAACTAACCTACTCCTCTAGCTTTTTGTGATTTCCTGTCCCTCCAAACCCCCCCACTGCACAGACACCACGACCGACACGCCGAGCACACCAACATCACAGTGCAGTCACGCTCCGTCATGCACGGGGCTGTCATCGACGCTGCCCAGGGGGCGCTACAGACCCACAAAGTCACGTGATGGTGGCATGTTCACCTACGAATTCGGTCTGATGGTCCTTAGGGGGACTGCATCGTGTTCTGGGCACAAACCACTTGCCTTAGAGATCAGCTCGTCGTGATTGGCCAGGTGGGCTCTGCAGTGGGCACAGCTGTACGTTCGGTGACAGTCTGGCAGATAAGCTTGGAAAGTTTTGGATTTTGTCATCTTCACCATCTCGGCGGGGCACTCTTCGCTCAGCTCAGGGCTGGCACCGGAAGAACCGCGGCTCTGCTGGGCTCTCTGACAAAAGAGACACTGAAATATGCACGCAAGAGCCGTTGTTGTTTGGAGGGCGTGTGGCACTGTCCACACAGCTGGGACGAGAGAAAAAGGTCACAACCTGTCAATGAATCAAGACAAAGCAGTGGGTCATGGAGGGAGTGAAATACATCAAGGAGGCATGTTCAGGGGGCATGTGTTTTGAGGAATAGGGTGAGGGGGCCAGAACTGGAAGATCTAATTCATTAATATTATACATAAAGAATACTAATACTTCGGGGCGCCTGGGTGGCTCGTTCAGTTAAGCATCTGACTTCGGCTTAGGTCATGATCTCATTGTTTGTGGGCTTAAGCCCCACATCAGGCTCTGCCTGCTTTAGATTCTGTGTCTCCCTCTCTCTCTGCCCCTCCCCTGCTCATGCTCTGTCTCAAAATGAGTAAGAGAGAGAGACAGAGAGAGAGAGACAGAGACAGAGAGAGGAAGGGAGGAAGGGAGGAAGGAAGGCAAGGAAGGCAAGGAAGGCAAGGAAGGCAAGGAAGGCAAGGAAGGCAAGGAAGGCAAGGAAGGCAAGGAAGGCAAGGAAGGCAAGGAAGG